GCAGATCTATACAGGTGGAGCTGGGGAAGGTGGAGGGTTCTGAAGCAAGCTGCAACTGCTACGGCAAGCACTAGTCATATATTTGAATGTTGAGAAGCGAGCTCAATCAGCTGTGCCATGTGATAATGATGTCATTAGGTCAGATTGAGTTAGACCTATCAGACTGCGCCATCTAGAGTTTCATGCCAGAACTCTGTATTTAATAAAAAAAAATATATATAAAAGCGTAATTATATTTAAAAAAATATTAAAATAAAAATATTATAATGCATAAATATTACAGTGTAAATTTTACAATCAGCATACTACCATCAGATCATCTGATGACACACATTGCTGCATATGCAATGTTACCCCCAACACTGTTCTCCATAACATATTACGTGTTTGCAGACAGTCATTGACCAGCGCAGATGATTGACGACACTCCTGCATGCTGGAACTCATTTGACAGGGGTCAGTGAGGTCAGAGTCAGTATTGACATTCATTTAACTCAATCTGACCAGGGCGTGACCAGCGCAGATGATTGACGACACTCCTGCATGCTGGAACTCATTTGACAGGGGTCAGCGAGGTCAGAGTCAGTATTGACATTCAGTTAACTCAATCTGACCAGGGCAGGTGTTAGTCAACATTCATGCACATGCGTCATTCTGAAATATAGTGAACCAAAAGACCACCCTGCCCTGAATACACTGTAAATTATACAGATCAGGTGTGGCACAGTGGTGGATGTACAGTAGGCTTGTAAGTTAAAGGTTGAGCATTCAATCTCATGAGCTACCACCATTGTGCTGTTAAATCTGTTGTAAATATTGTAAATAATTCTTAAAGCTGCTTTGGATAAAAATATCTGTTAAATGACTACTTGCTTAGCACTCACTACTGCTATATATAATTGGGCTTCTCAAACTCTCCCACCTCTTCACATTTTCCCCTTTCTTCTTCTTTCTTTTCGGCTGAAAAGCATGACTATATCTTCAAACAATAGCCAACTATATTTCCATACCTCTCAGAGATATCTAGCATGACGTGACCCGCAGTTCTCAGCCCACGGTGGGAAAGACTTCATCTGAAAACGGTCTTTGTAACGAAGCCGGTATCAGATACTGCGACGAAACTGCCCAGAACTTCACACACGCTCGAGCCTGGGAATGCACACGAACGCTACAGCCACATACCACAACCGATCTCTGACTGCAGACAAAACGCTCCATTAATGATGACCTCAACTTGGCGTCCTTTATTCATTAGAGGGCAGATTTAATTGCTCAAATCATCCAGCCCTCTTTGAAGGCCATGTTTATTGTCGCAGGCGTGTTAGAGCTACCAGCTCCCTGTGCTTGCTCTGTTCATAAAGGTTTGGGTGTTTTTTTTAGATTTGTAGGGCCTTGTTTATGCTTTAAAAAAATCATATTTATTCATTAAAAATCACTATTAACAAGCCCTTCTGCCATACTCCACTGTAGCGAGATCGGTCGGCTGAAAAGCATGACTATATCTTCAAACAATAGCCAACTATATTTCCATACCTCTCAGAGATATCTAGCATGACGTGACCCGCAGTTCTCAGCCCACGGTGGGAAAGACTTCATCTGAAAACGGTCTTTGTAACGAAGCCGGTATCAGATACTGCGACGAAACTGCCCAGAACTTCACACACGCTCGAGCCTGGGAATGCACACGAACGCTACAGCCACATACCACAACCGATCTCTGACTGCAGACAAAGCGCTCCATTAATGATGACCTCAACTTGGCGTCCTTTATTCATTAGAGGGCAGATTTAATTGCTCAAATCATCCAGCCCTCTTTGAAGGCCATGTTTATTGTCGCAGGCCTGTTAGAGCTACCAGCTCCCTGTGCTTGCTCTGTTCATAAAGGTTTGGGTGTTTTTTTTAGATTTGTAGGGCCTTGTTTATGCTTTAAAAAATCATATTTATTCATTAAAAATCACTATTAACAAGCCCTTCTGCCATACACCACTGTAGCGAGATCGGCTTCTGAAACTGTTACAGAGATTTATCAGAAGCCATTACTGTAATTGCAAATGGCTGTGGAACATTACTCACTGGCAATATCCTGAAGATATCCATCTTATTGAACCATACTGATTAATTGAATTTTCATCAGTGCTAAGCTTATTAACTGTTATGACAAATGATTCGAGGGGCATACATGTAGGCCACCTAGCACATTGCTTTTGAACATTTTCTTCTTCCAGCCAGAGAGATGATTATATTTCATTTCAGTTATCTGTCTTTGAAATAAGACTCAAGACTCATTAAATGCAATGGATGATGGCCTCGTTTGCGGTTTGACGGAGTACCGCACCATGCCTCGCTACTTCAGGGGAAAGTACGGTTTACCGACGGCTTTTTTGGCCTCATGCAAACGAATCTCACGATGCCAGTGAAGAGATGAGGGAGGAACACTTACAGGTTCTTGACGGCGGTGATCCCTCGGAAAGCCTTACGAGGAACAGCCTGAATCTGATTCTCGCTCAGGTCCCTGGAGAGAGAGAGATGAGAAAGAGAAAGAGAGAGATATTAGGATTGGTTTGAAGCCACTTCACATTTCGCATCTTGAGGAAGATGCACGGTTCGCTGGAACTTTGAAGTCTGAGACCAAATTGTTCTACTGACCATAAATGTCACATCCTCCTTTATTCGTCTGGCCTTTTATCACTCCGTCTGTGTGTGCGTCTAATGAAAAACATTTCTAAAGCAGTACTTTGTAATGAAGGTCTCATAGTGGTACGTCCCACAATTCTGCAGAAAATGAAGCAATCATATGCACTTTGAGTAACCCGAGAAAGAAAGCAGACAAAAGCGGCTCTTTTTAATGCTCGCTTATAAGCCAAATGATTTTTGACATGTCACAATGGTTGTGCTTAACTTTATTAAGCTTGCTTGTTTGTAGACTCACGCTGGCAAAACATAATTTGAAAACCAGAATGCAATTACGGGCCAAGAAGGAAACAAATGAGATATGGAATATCTGCCCAGCTAATCAAAGCGTCTGCTTTGGAGTCATGCCTGCTACACATAACACGAACAGACCACCACGTGGGTTAACCCACCTGACCTTGCTACAACCAATTTCACTGATAAACAATCAGGCACGGATCCAAACGCGGCGAGGAATCCTGCCAGAGCTCGTGCGTGGGACATAATGATGTATCAAGCACAGGACTGCCAGCAATTTCCTCTTAGGAGCATTAAAACTGTAGTTATTGGGCTCTCCCCTCCTTCAGCCCCCGCCAGAACTGGATACGTGTGTATGTCCCCCCCCCCTCGAACCAATCAAGTTTTATTATGGCAAAAATCTTAATAACTATGTTATGCATATATATATATATATATATATATATATATAACTCCGTTGGCAAATAGAAATAGATTTTTTTAAAGAAACATATCTACATACCTACATATATACTGTATAAACACATACTGTGTAAACAACTCATTTTTGTTTGTTTTGTCATTTTGAAGGCAATAATGAAATGAACTCAATCCTGGTATGCACTGCTATCATTAATGTCAAATTGGGCGTCTTAACAGATGCTGGAATGAATGCTTTAAGGTAAAAGATACAGATTCAAAGCAGACATGCACCAAACAGTGTTTGTTAAAGGACGAGAGCTGCATCGGTCCCCCTCCTCTAGCAATCTGCTTGCAAATTTCATTAATTTAATTTGGCTTTGGCCCTGCTCTCTCTGACTGTCAGGATGCCTGCCATAAATCTCCCTTTGATTCCATTACGGCTCCCATTTCCAGACAACCTGGCAACGCCAAAACATATTACAGATAAACGCTCAGCAACACGCAAGGATATGAGAGCCGAGCTGCGAGGAGGATCTATCCTTACACACACGCACAGACTCTCTCACACACAAAGGTCAGACAAAGTGAAACACGATATACTTCATGAAATGCTGTTGTTATGCCACTCAACAAACATCTTGTTTTCAATCAAATGCACACAAGAATCAGCGATAAACAGTTAAGCATATGCAAGGAAGAGAAGACCACTAATAATTCAAAATACACATCTGTCACATTTCGAAAGCTCAATATTTTGCCAATATAAATCAATGGGAGATTTTCAGACTTGAATCTTTAACGATTGCTTAAGAAGTTTCATAGTACATCTTTTGAAAGTGGTTTCGAACAAATCCTAAGCAGAGTCCGTCCATTCATTTTCCAAACAGCATCATATGTAAGGTCCTAAGCAGAATGTTTGAGGAATATCAATACACCGCTGCCTTACAAACGCAGTAAAAAGCATTGAGGGAATGTCGGTCAATTCTCTTTCTTATCACACTTTACAAATGTCACTCTTATCTCTCCACTGAAAAATGGAATGCTGCGGTTTTACAAGAAGGTTATTTGCTTCACTGTTGTTGTTTTCTCGCTCTGTTTAAACCACAAAGGAAAAGAGTGATTGTCTAAAGTAGCGGAGACTTAAACATCACTTTACAGAAACTCAAATAATGCAGGATGTCTGAGACAGACTCACACACACACACACGCACGCACGCACATATTTCACTCTTTTACAGCTCCGGTTATGGTCGTGATGGGCGGCCCTCTCTCTCTCTCTCGCTGATGGCTGGAGTCTGCGCTCTGCTTTATGGCCACTTTTAAAAATGGAGGCAAATTAAAACACTATGGATTTCTGGCCCTGAAGGACTGTATAGTGTAATTGGCCTTAAGGATGACAGTAGTTCTTAATTACACTGAGTATAGGAGCTTTTCATTGGGCCCAGGCCGCTCGCTCTATCTCTCTTCCGTCTCATTCTGCGTGAATCACCAGCCAGTAGATCCTCTGCTTCCCTTCGGTTATTAGAAGTTATGATTGCGGTTTCTCTGCTGAAATCTATCTCTTAAATGGAGAAAAGTGGATGTAAATATTACATTCTGGCAGGTGGCACAGAACCAGCATCGAATCACTCTCTGGCTGCAAACGTGAAAGCATGCCGGATCTTTCAGTTACAGAGCTGACCTTTAGAAGCTGCATATATTAGATGATAAAGGCAAACCAAAAAAAAAAGGTTAATACACATCTGCCAGTTAAATCAAATAATGCATTCTTGTCTGAAGCAGGACTGCATAATTAATCTAAAAACAATCATGATTATGATTAAGGCTTTTACTGTTAAGTAATCACAAAATATGTTGATCATAGGTCTGTTCTATTTTATTATTTTATTTTAACAGTGGTCAAAACCAGATAAGATAAAAACAGAATAAAAAAAAAAACTATGCATTGGACACCAAATCAAATTTTAAAAGTTCTGTGTTAGAAGTCTACAATATGAAATCATGATGAATTCCTAAGATCACCCTTCAGGTTCACTTTAAAACAATCACAATATTACTGATGTAGTTTTAAGATATAAATATAATAGTTAATTTGCTGCTCAAGAACCAGTTATTACTATAATTGTCAAAACAGTTTGATATTTTTGTTATTTTCAGGATTCTCTGATGCATAGAAAGTTTAAAATAACAATATTTATTTGAAACAGAAATCTTTTATAACATTATAAATGTCTTTACTGTCACTTTTGATCAATTAAATGCATCCTTGATGAATAAAAGTAATACAAATCTTACAGACAAAACTTTTGAAGAGTAGTTTACATTGCGTACAACATGAAAAAAAAAACATGTTTTCAGCGTCTGAAAAGTTACAATTATTGGCAGTACTTGGCATAACACTCAATATACTGTACATGTAAGTTATATTATTAAATCAAATAAAATAAGATGGGATCATCAAAGTAAGTATTTTAATGCAAGTTGTATTAGATGAAATAAATGTGACCCTGGATCACAAAACCAGCCTTAAGTGTACATTTTTTGAAATTGAATAATCTGAATGCTGAATAAATATTCTTTCCATTGATGTATGGTTTGTTAGGATAGGACAATATTTGGCCGAGATACAACTATTTGAAAATCTGGAATGAAAAAATCAAAATATTGAGAAAATCACCTTTAAAGTTGTCCAAATGAAATTCTTAGCAATGCATACACACACACACACACACACACACACACACACACACACACACACACACACACACAAAAGCTTCTCAGGTGCATATGCACAGTTTTCTTCTTATCCTCATTCTAATGTTGATGAATTTGAATCATTTTCAATGACAGAGCATGTTCATGCAGTTAGTAGTAATTATCATAAAGCACGCCCAGACATCTCCATATAAGAGCCTTCTGAACAAGCCATCCTATACAGCCATTCATTCCTCTCTGCAAACATACAGCATCTAAATGATGCAATCTTACATAACAGCACCCATAGCAAGAGTAAAGCAAAATGTGCCATTTTCAAAAACACAAGAGACATAGACGGACAATATTTGGCCGAGATACAACTATTTGAAAATCTGGAATGAAAAAATCAAAATATTGAGAAAATCACCTTTAAAGTTGTCCAAATGAAATTCTTAGCAATGCATATTACTAATCAAAAATTATGTTTTGATATATTTACAGTAGGAAATTTACAAAATATCTTCATGGAACATGATCTTTACTTAACATCTTAATGATTTTTGGCATAAAAGAAACATCTTTTATTTTGACCCATAGAATGTATTTTTGGCTATTGCTACAAATATACCCGTCCTACTTATGACTGCTCCAGGGTCACAAATAGCATCTACAATGTTAAGGGAAATAATTGTCTATTAGGACTTTTCATAAACGTTCAGTCCTATCTTGATGTGTACCAACAAGACGGTTAAACACAGAGTAAGACTGACTGATCTGAAACCCATCGCCGTCTCTTTAAACTCTTTAAAAAGTTAGTGAACACCAGGATGCCACTAAAGGAAGTGGGTATGGAAATGAAATGAAAGAGAAAGACAGAAGGACATAGATGCAGAATCCTTGTTCACTGATCAGCATCTGGCAGCGTCAGCTTTGTATTCCGCCGCAGTCGTTTAACTGCCCTTGCTTAGTGTCTTACATGTAGCCCAAAGACTCCTTGATTTAATTAACTCAGTGCTTTATGAATAAAACTATTTCACTATTGATCATCCCAAGAGCTGACGCAGGCTAAACCGGTACAGCGCTCACTTCATTACGCCGTCCTTACTTGCTTTTTTTTCTTTCTGATGGCAAGGGAGGAGGTGAGGGTCGGAGTCGCTATGGAGGGAGGTGAAGGCAGCTTCTAAATCAAAGTAAATGAGCTCAAATGCTCCCTTGGGTGTCTAAAGCTTTCTGCTAAAGCTTCTACATTCCTCCGCTGCCTCCAAGAAAGAGTCTGCGTATGGATATTATAAATAGAAAAGGTTTTTCCCCCGTGTTAGTATCTATTATGTTTTGTCAATGCTTTAATTAAATTGGATAGCTTAATGTGATTTATCCTGATCCATGCGCTTTATGGCTCTAAAAGCCTTTTTGGCTCCCAGCCCAAAAGATGTCGAACAAATTTAGATGAGTTAGTGAAGAAAAAAGGGGAGAGGCTGGGCACAG